TAATAATAATAATAATAATTACAATAATAATAATAAAATATCTCTAAACAGCACTATGTATGTAAGGGATTCAGCAGTCAGGCTTTTTTCGTCGTGCTTTTTTTTGTAATAACAAGTAATGTTTAAAAGAAAAGTCCTTGCTGGTTTGTTGTTTTGTTTTAGTAGTGGAATCTGAACCCAGGGGCACCCTACCACAGAGCTACATCCCCCTTAGCTTAGGCCTAAATTGCTGAGATTGGCCAGGAACTAACAATCCTCCTGCCTCAGCCTCCTTAGTTGCTGGGATTACAGACAGGCACTACCATACCAGGCTTCTATTTTTTATTTTGAGGGAGCGTCTGCTGAGTAGTCCAGGCTGGCCTCTGATTTCATCCTCCTTTTTCAGCCTTCTGAGTAACTGCTGTACTCCTAGACCCTAAATCCATACTTAATCTGCCCACAGGTTAGTCAATTTGAGAATGGAATTATGCGGACAGGAAAGATGGCACAGCATGTGCCCTCCTGCCCTCCATGGGTTACCCTTCTTACAGTAAGGGTGACACATCTGTCCTAAGCAGGAAGGGTGTATCTGAAAGGAAAAAGAAGATGGTGACTCCAAACCCAGGCCAGAACTGAATTTACCAGGCCCTCTTCTTCTGAAGGGAAGGGTTAGAGAACTCCCACCCTCTCCTCAGACCTCAAAGACTTAAACAAAAAACAGCCCCACAATAAAGTTTCAATTGCCGTTTTCCTGGGTCTCTGTTTCCCTGATTTACTGCTCCCTTTTATGGTTCATTTCACTCAGGGTCATTCGGGCTGCAACCCTTCACACCTCCTCTTCTTCCCTGCCCCCACCCCTTGCACAATCTTGTTTTGATTTGTTTTCTTAATAAAGGACATCTCTTGCACAATCTGGCTTTGTTTTCTTTACAACCTTCACTTGAAATTATGTTTACTTGTTGATCTATCTTCCGGCCCTTAACCCTGCCTCCCCTACATTTTAAGATTAAAAGCTCCATTGGGACCTGGACTTTGTGTTCATCATTGCTAGAAACCAGTAGGTGCATAAAGATGCTGGGAGGAAGCGGATATTCTCATATGAAAGAAGAAACCCTGGCTCAAAAACCTTTGGAAGCACGGCAGGTGAGGAGCCAGTCAGTTCAGAGAGGGACCCTATGCCCGCGGGGGCGTCAGATGGAGCATCTTGGAGGTGCCTGGCGGTGCACTCACTCGGATCCTGGGTGGTCCTGGCCCCACACGCGGAAGTGGCGGGGCGAAGAGTTGAATGAACTGTGCTTGGGGCCAAGGAAGCCAGGAGGCCTCTAAGCTGAGCAGGAGCTGACAGGACCTCACAGGCTTTGGAGACCGCCCCTGGGCTTCCCTACTTCCTCTCTGGAGCCCTGGCCGCCTTCCCTACGGAGCGGGGTGTGGGCAAAGTTGGGAAGAACCTTGAAAACACCGCTCACTTCAGGCAGTTTAACCTTGGCTGTCTTGTCTTCCCCAATATGTGATTTTCCTTGTGTTCAGACTTGTTAATTTCACTGTGCACCAACTTTTACTGCAAAGTTGATTTTATCATTCTTTCCTCGTTGGGGTTGTATATATTTGGTTTTTGTTGAGGGGATGGGGTTGCTTCCAAACAAGTTGCTTCATTAGCTCCTCTCCATTAATTCAGCAATAGTTTGTTGAGCTTTCTGCCAATTTCCTAGGATTTGATTTTTAAAATTTAACTCATAAAATAATAACCCAATGTCCATTTTATCTCAAAAGGGATGCTGCGAAGTATGATCCCCACGCACAATTTTGTAGTTAACCCAGGGCTCCCTATTAAATATTCCTTCCTTACTCCCTCCTTTGCAATCTCTTTATCATATTTTTTTCCTACAAAATGGAATCTATTTCTGGTTCCTCATCCTATTTATTTTTATACCAATATCCTATTGTTTTTCTTGCTACTTTGTTCTGATACCATATATTAGATAGGTGGGCTTAAGCATCTCTCACAAAAAGAAAAAAAAAAAGTTATTGACAAAGCAGTTCAGTAGTTACCAGGGGTTGGAGGTAGGGGAGAAATTGACCACAAAGGAGCAGAAAGGAGAATTTTGAGGGGTGATGTAATAATTCTATGTCTTGATTATATGGTTGTTTATACAACTCTGCATTTGTCAAAACTCTCCAAACTGTACCCTAAAAAGGAAGAATTTTCCTGTGTGCAAATTATACCTTAGTAGGTTGGGGGTGTAACTCAGTGGCAAAGTACTTGCTTAGCATGTGTGAGGCCCTGGGTTCATTCCCCAGCACAGGAGGGGGAGTATAGAGGGTGTAGAACATGCACACTTGGAAATGCAGCTTTCTTTGCACTTAGTCCTAGAAGGCAGAGATAGAAAAAGATGGGATCTCCTATGGCTGGTGGAGGTGGGGCAGTGGTGGGCGATGCAGCCACTGCCTTTGGCTCCACTATGAAATCCAGGAATAACCAAGCCCAACCAAGGGGAGCCATAGCTGCCTTTCTGGCCTCCCCAGCCAGACTCAAGACCCACCTAAGTCCTCACCTCTTCCTTCCACCCTCCAGGTGGCTCCAAAACAGTGCCTTGTCTTCTCTCCCTGATCTGTCCCTCCTTGCAAGTCCTAAATTCAAGCCAGAACCACCTACTTAGTTTGCAGGGCACAGAGCAAAATGAAAATGTGAGGCCTTTTGTTCAAACATTCTTAAGAAGTTCAAGATGGCAACAGCAGAGCATAACACCAAGTGTAGGGGCCCTGGGTGCTGCACAGGTCTTACACACAGAAAACTGGTCCTGGTTTTAGCCCTTTCCTTTGACTGCTCAGGGAATCCTGCACCAGCTTACCAGACTGACCAGGATCTGCTTTGCTTCCCATTCTCCTTGTTCCCCTCCTAAAATTCCACACAAGATCCTCTCTGGAACCTGCCCCAAACTTCCATATATCCAATGTCATCGCCTACAGAGGCCTGCACCCTCTTTGCAGAAAGGTTCCCTAAAATCTACATCCCTCCAGTCTCAGAGAAATGTATTTTCATGCTCCCTTTTTCCATGTTTGGCTCACTTGTTTGATGACAAGGAGGCCCCTGTTGTCCTGTGTCAGTGTATCTGAGCTCTTTTGAATTCTCCTCTGTCTTCTTCATCTCCTGTCTGAACCTGGTCACTATCTGGAATGACCTTCAACAGTATGAACACACACTGTCTCCCTCCTCTACAAACAAATGTCAAAAGGGCAGGGAACTTTGTTAGTATGGCTTACTCACCTGAGAATGACATCTGGCCCAGAGGGAGGCCCTCAAACACCTCTATAGAATGAATAGTACCTAGCTCTGGAACTCCATGCTTGACATAGACTTGGCACAGAACGGGTATCCACAATTAGCTCAGAGTTAGAGCCTTCCCTATCTTCCCCACTCTCTCACCTCAAAGCCTTCCTACTCAGGGGAGGGCTCTGGTCACCCTGCTTCTACATCTCTCCAAGTGCCTTTTGGGGCTGGAACCAGAGTGGGCTTGAGGGGGCGGGAATGGAAGACACTGATCTGCTCTGGCAATACCCTCAGCTCATTGGAGACAGAGAAAAACCAAGAAATATAGCAGCTTGCAAAGAGCTGATGGAGAGACATATGGACGTGTAAGCACTGCAGAGGAGGTGGATAGTCCAGGAAGGACTTCCTTGAGAAAGCAAGACCTGAGCACTTCCTGCATTCTGTGTGCAATGACGGACACCAGGAGGCAGCCCAGGAAGACAGCTGATTCTCTGCCTCCCTGGCCCGGTCCAGAACTTACTCAAACCCTCACTTCTTTCTTCCACCCTCCAGGTAGCTCCAAAATGGTGCCCTGCCTCCCCTCCCTGTGTCTGTCCCTCCTTGCAAGTCTTTCAGTCCAGGATCACCTGCAGAATGAGGTAGAATGCCAGAGGGCTAAGTCAAACTCTGGAGTTCACTGAGGTTGGAAGGGGCACTGCTATCAGGGATCCTGGAGACCAGAGTCAGAGACCTTCCGTGAGGGGTTAGGGGCCCAGAGAGCTGCTAGAAAGTGTGGATCAGAGGCAGAGAGCACAGTGCAGATCTGGCTGCCTAGGTCAGATCAGCTGGGGAAGGGGATTCCAGGGGAAAGCTGAGCCTGAGAGCAGCTGAGGGCCCAGCCAGAAGTAGAAGGGAGGGGCTTCCCCAAAGCAGTAGCCATAACAGTGACAATGATAGTGACAGTGACACTTGTGATCAGCTGGCCCCAGAGCCACTCAGCCTACCTGGGAACCAGGGAACTGGTTTGCCCAGCACGGATGAACTAACCGGTATCTGGTTTTGAGACACCCCAGCTTTAGCTCTCCGGCACCCTCCCCCTTCTTCTGGGCCTGGCCTTGGTTTCTGGCACTGCTGCCAAGTTTTGGTACCGCCCACCCACTCCCCGCTGGCTGTACTGGCCGGCCCAGCTCCCTAATTACTGGGTGGAGAGCTGTTCTGCAGAGCTGGTATACCAAAAGGTGGGCCCCAGCCACTCTTGGACACGTGGGGACCCAGCCTAACCAGCTCCTGGTCACAGGGAGGAAGTAATCTAGGCTTCAAGCCAACATGCAGGTCCAGGAAGTGGGAAAACCTCCAGGGGTCCATTGGCCCAGAGATCTGGATTTAGAGGGGCCTATGAAATAGGAATACCCTAAGATCTGTGGGGACTGGCCTGCCTAACCCAGATACTTCACCTTTCCCTCCTCAGGCATTAGACCTGAGCTCAGGAGTGGACCTAAATGGGTCTTAGTTAGGCTCAGGGCTCCGTCCTGGACACAGGATTGACCCAGGCCCGGCCAGTGGAGCTGATTCCTGGCAGAGGGAGAGCCAGGAAGCAGCTTTCCCAGCCTCCAATTCAGGAGCTGGCTTTTGGAGGCCAGGTGCCCCAAACACACCTCCTTGGGCACACCCACCACCCACAAACACATCTGCCATTCACAGGGCCATAAACACAGCACCCCCAGACAAGTCACACACTACACTCATGGCCCCAAAAAAGGCGGGGCCCATCAACTCATGTGCCACAATTCCCAAGGAGGCTGGGATGTAGTCCACACTCCAGCAAACTCTACAATCAGGATCCACCTACTGGGCCTGATGGGGGGGCATGTCAGGAATAGCATGGGAAGACCAAGGGTCAGCCAAAGGGAGCAGCCTGGGTTTCTACATGAAGTACTTTTTATTTGGGGGCAGGAGGAGTACTGTGATTTGAACCCAAGTGTGCTTAATCACTGAGCCACATCCCCAGCCCTTTTATTTTTTGAGACAGCTTAGGGCCTCACCAAGTTGCTACAGTTGGCTTTGAACTTGTGATCCTCTTGCCTCACCCTTCTGAGGCGCCGGGATTAGAGGTGTACACCACCATGTCTGGCTACATGGAGTACTTCTAAGAGGTCTCCCTGAGTGGCCCTACATGAACAAGGATTGGAGGGCAGATGACTATGTGCTAGCTACCCTTAAGCAGGAAGCACATCAAATTCACCCTGTGGCCCCAAGCTCAAGGGTCCAACCAGAGAAACAGTAAGCACTAGATGCATGGTAGCCACTCCAATGATACATGTGTAATAAGCTGAGCTTCTCTCAAAAGATAGGGAAGACTCCACTTGCACCAGGTCACCAACTGGAGGGGAGCAAAGTCCCAAGACTGCTGAGGGACTGGGGTAGCTGTGGGTTTTCGAGAACCTGAGACCATCAGCAGGAGTGCAAGAGGACTGACAGTTCCAAGGCCAGGTAAAGAACAGAGGTGGGAAGTGTGGGGATGCTTCTTCAAGAAAGAACTTTCCAGAATACAAATTAGATCAAATCTCACTCCTACCTAAAAATACCCAATAGCCTTCCATTGCTTATGGGGAAATGTTCCATTCCTTCCGGATCCTCTTGCCTCACCCTTCTGAGGCGCCGGGATTAGAGGTGTACACCACCATGTCTGGCTACATGGAGTACCAAATAACCCACAAGCTTTCCCTGCCAAGCTTCTCTGCACCTTCCTAAACCTCCCCCTCACCCACCCATGAAGAGAGAGGCACACCACAGCTGGACAGAAAGATAGGAGGTGGGCTCCAGAAGAGGTAGAGCTCACAGGAGCTTTTGGATGCCCCCACAGGATGCTGTCTTAGGCTGGCCCCAATCCAGCAGAGGCCTGGGCAACCAGGGCCCAGACTTTCCACCAAAAGGAACATTTCATATCCTTGAAATGCCTTTTGACTCGCCCTTTTGTTTTTTTGTAGTCCCCTAGTATTGTTCCTTCTGAAAAATCCACTGGTGCTAAAGAAAGGAATTTCAGCCCACACAGCAGCTAAGGAACTGTGTGGTACTAGAGCAAGGAAATAGGATGCCTCCACTCTCCAACACATATGATCAGCAGCTTCACAGACAGGCACAGGGCACACCTCCCAATAACCATGACCATGAAAGGAGCTACAGGCCAGGTCAACTCCCAACCCTGACTATCCACAAAACTGGACTCTGGTAAGGGCAGGCTCAATACATCACCCAGGGCCTCCTCAAAGAAAAGGTGGTTTTATTCTGGAGGAGGCCAATGTTTCCATCCCAGCCTCCTTCCATTAAGGAAGGCCTCAGCCCAGCTCTCTAGCCACCCTCCCTTACACCTGCCCTTCCCTATTGGTGCCTCTGGATTCTCTAACCTCCTTCATTGGGCCACACCCACTCCAGGGAGCAGGGCTGGGCCCTGCTTGGGTGCTTCTCTGCCAGAAGGGTCTAGCCCTGGCTCTGTAGCCAGCACCTTATCCTGCCCATCGCCCCCCCTGGATCCTTCCTCTTGGGAGCCTCCCATCCCTGGGTTGGCCTCTGCACATTCTGCCCCAGACCAGTGAAAGAGAGGGGTCAGCTGTCTCAGGGCATCTTGGACAGTGCATCTGCTGTCAGCTTGCTCTGCTGGCCTCAGATCTTGGAGGACTCAAGTCGAGGACTCCAGGGCGTGGGGGGCTCCCGTAGTGCCCGTAGCTCCTGCTCCAGTGCCTGATTACGACGGTACATGTCCATGTAGCCCCCCTGGATCTCCCGCTGGTAGCGCAGCACCCGCTCCTTCTCTTCCTGCCAAGTCCTCCGTTCCTGCTCAAAACGCAGTGCCTGCTCCTGGCCCCGGAGCCGTTCTTGCAGTAGCTCTGCACGCAGCTGTTCAGCACCACCTCCAGCCTCACTACCTCCAGCCTCCCCCAGCAGCCCTCTGCTCTTGCAGTCATCGGTTTCACAGCTGCCTGGGGCTTCCTCCCGAGGAGCCTGTTCCTGTAAGCTGCGCACAGTCTCACGCAACCTGGCCAGCTCTGCGTCCTGAGCCTGGGCTTGTGCCCGGAAGCCCCGAAGTTGCGTCTTCAGACTAAATATCTCAGCCAGTTTCTGTGCCAGCTCTGCCTGGGCTTCCCGCAGTTGCTGCTTCAAGAGACTAATCTCTGCGGTCTTCTGGCACACCTGGGAGATGGGGGGACACAGGATGAACAAGGGCCAAGCAAAGCAGCTTGGGGCCTCCTTGAAGACCCAGATGCTCCAAGGTGTGGGGAGCTGGTTGAGGGAGGGGAAATGGAGAATGGGACCAGGGCAGTGGGGATGGGTGTTTCTGAGTCCCTGGCGGTCTCTCACCTCCCATCGGGCTTCCTCCTCTGGCCGGCTGCTGGAGTCGGCCTCTGGAACTGGACCTGGGGGACGAGGCTCAGAGGTCAGGCCCTGTTGAGCCCGGAGCTCCTTGCGCAGCCGTCGCTGTTCCTGCTGAGCCATGAATAACTGCAGCTGGAGGTTGCGCTCGCTGCGCTCAGCTTTCTGAGCCACCTCATGCAGCCGCTCCACGTACAAGCGCTTCAACTCAGATAACCACAACCGCTGGCGCTCCTCTAGCACCTGTCACGAGAAAGAGGTTCACAGTAGGGTTGACCAACCATGCCTAGATTTCCACAAGGCTCCGCCCCTTGGATGCAATCCACCTGTGCTCCCATAGCTCACCACCACCCTAACACTTCCTCCACCAATAACTCCTTGGGCAGTTATTGGAAAACAGAAGTCAAGACATCTCCACTCCCTCTTTTTGAGACAGGGTCTTACTGTTTTGGCCACACAGGCTGGCCCTGAACTCAAGATCCTCCTGCCTCCTCCCTCCAAATACCTGGGACTACAGGTGTATGCTACCACACCCAGTGTTTCCCAGAAACATGTGGGTGAACCATCTGGGGTCGCTCAGTCTGGCTCATACACCAATGCCAAGGGACAGAAGAATAGGACCCTAGGATGGGGCTCACTTACCTGTGTGAAGGGGTTGGAGCCATCCTGGTCTCCAAGGTCCCTCTTGAGATCCTCACAGGTCTCAGGCAGCAGGGCTACCACCTCCTCTGCAGTGGAGCAGGAGAATTCATAGGGGGGCGGTGGCTCAGGCAGGCAGCTCAGCACAGCCAATGGCCCAGCCTCCTTGGGGCTCCTTGAGGCCCGGTCCAGGGAGCCTCCAAGGTGGTTAATGTGGCCTAGGGAAGAGCTGAAGGGGCTGGGGCCTGTGCCAGGACTGCGGCCAAAACTGCCCCCACTGGAGGAATCAGACAAGCTGGGCTCAGGCTCAGGGCCACCCTCATCCAGGCTGAGGGCATGCAACAGTTGTGCACGAGCCTGGCTGGCCCTGGGCCCTGGACTCAGGGGTGGGTGGCAGGCCAGCGTGTGCAGACTACCATTGCTGCGCCACAGCTTCTGACCCTTGTGGGCAGCCAGGCTCTGCATGGAGAGGAAGCCTTTCCCGGTACCTGCTGTAGGCTTGAACACTGATGGGCGGATGCGGCACTGCCAAAAAGAGAGGGCAGGTGTGAGCGAGGTCTGTGAGTATGGTAAACTCTGCTCTACCCTCCTGATGCTCCTGCAGCCCCTGGGAATCCTCTGTGAGAACATGGGGCACATGCCACCAGGAGGAATTAACCAAGGCTCAAGCCAGTCTACGGCAGGCTTTCCACATCTTAGCCCATCCAACCTTCATCCCATCCTAGCAACTGGGTCTCCAAGGAGGCCCCAAGCTGCCCATCTCCAACTTCCCTGTGCCACATAAAGGACATCAGCAGAGACACACCTTGTCAAAGCGACCCCGCTCAGGCAGTGAAGTCTTGCTAAAGTCACCAGCCCGAGGATGTTCCCGGTAGTAGAGGGTAGCATAGTCAGCAGGCTCATTCCGAGGTGCCCGCTTGGTGGTCTTGCCATCCTTCTTGGGAAGGTGCAGATAGCTAAGGAGCTCACGCTGGCCCAAACCTTTCCGGAGGAGTCCATCAGGTTGGCGAGAGCCTCGAGACCCAGCAAGTGCTGCCCGAAGCTCTTCAGGGGAGAAGTCCTGACGTTCCAACAGGCTGCCCACGCTGCCCATGGCAATGCCAGCAGGGCCTGGGGCTGTGGCCATGAAGTTTCAACAGGGCACAGGAAGCTGCTTCGGGGAATCAGGAGGTTCCATTAGGAGCAGGTGAGCACTCACTACCCAAATCCCCAGATTCCCTAAAACCAGGCACTTGTCATCTGCCAGCTCTTCTACCTGCCCAGGCCCAAGAGAGGCAGATGTGGGTAGGAATCAGAGACAATGTCAGGACATGACTCCCAAACTGGCAAGAGAAAGGGGTTCAGGTCCCAAAGCCTCCTGCTCATCTAACATTCAATTGGAACACCAAAGGGACAGCTCCAGTAGCGTCCTGTGTGCAATGTGGAAGCATGATAAGTGGGTATGGTGGGAAGAAGACCTCAAGCAGTAGGACAAGGGCCCACCTCTCGAGACCAGGCCAGCAAAGAGCTAATAGAGGATGGACTCAGGCTGTCTGACCCTAACCTTGCTAACTCTTCTGCCAAGGTCCCGACCAAATTTGTTGAATGGGGAGGAAGCATAG